ACACACACACACACACACACACACACACACACACACACACACACGTACAGTTTTTCCTTTTACTTGTACATACATTTGTGTCTCATAAACGTTTAAATTGAAATATTTTTTATAATTTTGTCCGAGTCTTTTTTATTTCTATGGGTTGCATGCTTGTGCCGCCTCAGTTTAGTTTAAAGCTTAGTTAAAAACAAAGACACGGGTAAGGTTTCCTCCTTTCCTTTGTTTTAAACTAAACTTGAAGCTAAACTGAGGCAGCACAAGTATGCAACACGTAGAAATAAAAATGACTTGTGGGAAAAATATAAAAATAGTTAAGTATAAATATTTAAGAGACACAAATGCATAGAGGTAAAAGGAAAAAAACATGTAATAAAAAACTGTACAATTTAAATTGTGTTAAAATATATAGACTAATTTATTGAAACTAACCCAGAAAAATAAATATTAAAGTCATTTCAAACAAAAAAACATAAGATAAAGTTCTCCTTTGTTAATTGGTGCATTTTAAGTGTATTTATTTAGTGGTTCATTTAAATATGTCTGCTTTTATTTCTAATTGTGGCTGTTTCGGTCCTCCAGACTGCAGAAGCATTATAATCATCCATTCATTCAAATTAAGTGTGTTGGAGCAGAGAAGCAAGTAAAACATACAGGGCTGCGGCCCTCGAGGAACAGGATTGCCCACCCCTGGTTTAAACTTTTCTGGTATTAATGTAATTTCCGTAGAGGATTTTATTGGATTTTATTGTACTTTCCCTGTGGATTCAAAATCTGAACTTATCAATTTGCCCCAGATTGACAGCTTGGTGGTGAGGAAGATAAAGGATCCTATTGTGTTTAAAATTTGTTGTTCAAGGCATAAGAAAACATTAAAACAAATTGATAAGAATACACTGTTAGCTCTTTGTAGTGACACTGTTGCAGTGAGTGGTGTAGCAGTAGCTGGATTTGAGTTGAATGAATTTGATTGAACGTGATGTTTTGCTGCAAAGGACCTGTTCCACGCCAGCACTTTTGAACTATTTATGAAAGCTTTTGTGATTCAGCGTTAACAGTTTTACAGTACTTTAAAGACATGCTCCACAAAAGCAAAATGTTGCACTATCAGTGTTTTAGAACAAGACCTTCATCTATTTTATTTTATTTATTTGAAATGTTCGCTTTTATTATGTTGGGTACTCTGTTTTTTTCCCACTCCATTTAATTCACTATATATGTGCTTGCATTCGTGATTGTTCCCAAAATGCAATCGCCTGTGGATTATCGAGGACGTTCAATTTGTTTCTGTCCCTGGACAGTGGGAGGGGGAATGTATCTTTGGAGTGTCCTTTAGTGGAGCCTCAAGGAGAGGGTAATGAATGGACAGTGTCATGCCCTGGTAAGTCTGGAGGTTTTTAGTATTGTCCTGTTGGTGCCTTTAAAGAAAACTAAACTCTCAGAACAGTTGAAAATTGTTTTTTTTTATGCTTGTCAGTAACTTTTTACCAGCCATGTCTGGACTTGTGCAGTTTTTTGATATAACGAGTATGTCCAAGCGAGATTTTTTTTGATTGTGTTAAATTTCTTGATTTTTTTTTGTTTTCATTGTAGGAAGTGGTCTGTTTCACCCTGCCACCCGCAGTGTGTTTCTTACAGTTGGTCACTAGAGAAAAGAGAGCGAATTACCTAAAATTAAAATGCTGCTTGTCAAGAAATGTCCTAAATTATTGTTTCGTGTCTCTTCCAGGAGAGGTGACAGAAGATGAGTTGTTTAATAGACTTCAGCAAATCAAAGATGGTCCAGAGCAGCAACAGAATAACAACCCAGGCACTGAAAGTCAGGAAGACCCAGTCGGTCAGTGTAAKATTTTATTTATTTTATGTTGGCTGTAGGAGTTGCTTTCAAATTAAGATGCAAATTAACCTTTTATTATGTATTTACGTTTCCAGAACCACCAGAAAACTCTGAGGATCCTCCTGGTGGTGATAGCCTCCTGGACTGGCTTAACACAGTGCGCCGCACAGGCAACACGACCAGAACCGGCCACCGTGGAAACCAGTCATGGCGGGCTGTAAGCCAGACCAACCCAAATAGTGGCGATTTTCGCTTTAGTTTGGAGATTAGTGTGAACCGCAATCTGGCTGAGCAGCAAGCAGCTGCTGAAGGGGAGCAGGAGGCTATCGAGCAGCCCCCCGAAGTTCAAGAAGTTGTGGCTAATCCCGAACCAGCAGTTCCTATGGAGGCAGAAGTAGTGGAAGAACCAGTGGTAGAAGAAATGGCTGTCATCATGGAACCAGAACCTGAACTAGAAGAGGCTGTTTTGCCAGAGGTTGAGAGGGAACCTCCCAGCCCACCTGCAGCCCAGCCAGAGCAACCACCACCTTGTTCTTCTCCACGAAGAGGACAAAGAAGAGCCCGCAGCCGTAGCCCAGAACCAGAACCACGCAGAACTAGGGCTAGGTTAGCCAGAAGTCGCTCTCCGCTSCGTTTGGATCAGCTTGATGGCCTGCCTAATCCACGACATCTTTATACTTCTCAAAGCCCCAGTTCTTCCACAGATGCCCCKTCTGTGCCTCAAGTAGAGGGCAGTTCTCGGACTCGACAACATATTCTTTCAAGGCAAAACCTAYCTGAAAYTGATGTTCAYCCATCAAGGGCAGATGAAGAATRGGTACCAGAGGGCCAGCCCGTCGAACCTCCGGAAGGGGAGTCTGCTGGGGTTGAAGGTGGCGCAGCYGGACGTCGTCCCCCGACTATAATGCTCGATCTTCAGGTGCGCCGCGTGCGGCCAGGTGAATACCGGCAAAGGGACAGCATCGCCAGTCGGACCCGCTCTCGCTCCCAGAACTCAAACACATTTCTTTATGAGAGTGAGCGTGGTGGATTCCGCAGGACCTTCACACGCTCAGAGCGTGCTGGCGTGAGGACCTACGTCAGCACCATTCGAATTCCCATTCGAAGAATTTCAGATGCAGGTTTGGGAGAAGCAACCTCAATGGCTCTTCAGTCGATGATCAGGCAAATCATGGCAGGCTTTAGTGAGCTAGGCTACCTCATGGATTCAGACTCAGATTCCTCAGATTCAAACCGTGGAACCGGCACGCCTGCAGACTTGGAAACCCTCAACAACCCAGAAGCAAATAACGTAGACYCCCCTGCTGCTGATGTGGATGAACAACCAGTTGCCGCTGGAGTCAGAGGGAGGACAGTTGAGACCGAGATGGATGAGGGCCTTGCCACTGGGCCTCAAGGTTCTGGTGGCAGGGCACGGCCCAGACCCCTGAACAACCTCGAGGAGACCAACTCACTGGGTTTCTTTCGACTTGCTCATTTCTTCTTCCTGAATGATGACGATGACGACCAACCTCAGGGGCTGACTAAAGAGCAGATCGACAACCTCTCCATGCGCAGTTTTGGCGAGAGTGAAGCCTTGAAGACCTGTAGTGTCTGTATAACGGAGTACGCCGAAGGAAACAAACTCCGTAAGCTTCCGTGCTCTCACGAGTACCACGTGCACTGCATCGACCGCTGGCTTTCTGAAAACTCCACGTGTCCCATCTGCCGCAGGACTGTCCTGGTCTCAGCCAACTGAGAGAGTGTGATATGACCTTTAAAAGACTGCAAACCTTTTCCCTCTAAGTAAAAGTCCAAATTATATGCTTACAACAGATGTCTCCATGGTTAATTTTATTTTTACATTAATTAGTTTGATCATAACATTACAGGTTTACTTTGAGCACTTCATCTTTTGACATCAAGGCGCATTCTCTCTCTAGATAGATATTTACTATTGCTCTCTAGATCTTGTACAAGCGATGCATGCTGTTGATGAATGAAAGCACCCACGCTGTTTTGCATTACATCAAACCTTACATAAGATTGATTGATATTGCACACCTTTCGGGTAGTTCAGACACTTGAGATCTCTCTTTTTGTTTTGAATCTTAAGTAGCATCTGATGTACTTTGTAAGTTGAGTTATAGGCACAGTTTTAAGTAACACCAATTCAAAGTATTAGCTGTAAATAAGCTTGTAAAAATAATTTAGACTCTTTGCATCAGTGAATTGGTTTTGGTTTGTAAATTACCTTACATGAAGCTCTTGGTCATCATGGCTGCAGTTACTTTAAATCAGTTACAAATAAGTGGCATCGGTGTGCATAACAGAGTTCTGTAGAGACTTTGATGTTCAAAGGTTGTTGCACAAAATTTAGTTTGCACTTCACAGTATAACCTGTTTTTTTCCCCTTAATGTTCACTTAATCAAAACAATCTATTATGGAGTGCCAGTGTACCAGTAAAATTCTAATTGTGCATTGAATTCTTAAGGAGAAAAAAGAAGTGTTGTACTGGCAAAAGCTAAACTAAAGCAGTTTTTCAACTTTCSTAAGTCTGTAGTGTTATTTTTTTTAAAACATTAAAAATGATGCTAAAGGAATATCAGAGTTGCAGATGTGTACATATTGATAATAAATGTTGGATTGTTCTAAAGTTTTGATTATTCCCATTTGAAGTATTGCATCAAATGGCCTGATTTTAGGAACTTGAAATAAAGTAAACTTTTTTTGTTGATCATACATGTTTTTCATGTTGTTATAATCCCCCCAATCCTGTTTTTGCCATCAGTTAGTCGCTAGAAATTGGCTTCAGACAGCAACAAACTTCTAAAATGAGCTCTGAAAATGTAGGTACACAAATTCTACAAGTCTCTAACTAACTCATCAAACCATGGTTTAGTTTAAACTGTTTGACATTTATCAGGTCTGGATGGAATTCATTCTGCATCAGTAAAAAGACTTTAACTCAACTGCTCTATGAGCAAATCCTTCACTGATGTGCTTTATGTGCAAAAGTTTAGAGTATTGGAATACAAACCATGATATAAATGTACAAGTAAATCATTTATAAAATGTTTTTGGTAAAACCTTAAATGAAGCTGTTTACCCTTTTCATTATGTTTTAAAGTTCAGTTTCTTTCGGAAGTTATGAAGGTTTTAAATGGTAAACAGGAGAACTGGCTAGAGGAAGAAAAGGGCATTGCGATTAATGTCATCCTGTCATGTTTCTCGCTTGTTTCACTATTTAATGTCTTAACCACAATTATTACTTTTTTTTTTGTGGGACACGAACATTTAAATGCAAAAAAAAAAAAAAATGTTAACCATAAATATGTAAATGAGTTGTGTGTTTTTCTCTGAGGTCGAGCTTCGGTTTTGGCCTTGTTCTGTGACCCACCCAGTGCAGGATGTTAGCTGGGTGTTTAATGAAACTAACCGCTGAATTAAACAAGTTGTTATGCTATGAAATCATTCACCACAGATATAATCTGTGCTTTGTTCTGTTTATTAATTGATGCATGCGGCTTATTATATTACGGGTTTGTAATGCTGAAACCTTTCTTTGAAACCTCTTTTTAGTAATGTTTTAATGTGTTATATTATAAAAGCATATATTGAATGTTACAATAGGTGGAGAACTGTTATGCTCTCTAAATAACACATCATACCGCTTTAGTAAGGTTCTTGCATAAAATTTAAAGAAATTTATTCATTGTCCGCACCGCAGTAAAATCATGTAAACTCAAGTAATGTTAAAATAGGTTAATGTAAACTTATATTTTGGGTTGAAAAAGGCTGATAAGTTAGGATATGAAGACAATGAACTGCTGTAAATTTCTAGATCATCTACATTCAATGCCTGGGGGCCAAATCTGGTGCCAAAGATGATATTTTAAATATGAAACTGTTTTATCGCGTCTCTTTTTGCTTAAAACATTTTAAACTTAATGTACTTCGTGGGTGCTGTCGCCTTATGACAGCTGGACAATTTTTAAAGCCAAGAAAAACAAGTTGGAAATTTTCAGTCATCTTTATTTTGGCGTGAAAAGAGCAACAGAGAACGTCAAACTGTTGATGAACCAGCCGAGGAAAGATAATGGAAGACTCACTCAAGCAAAAAGTGAGTCTGAGCAACTGGGTCAAAATTTGTTTTTGTATTTCTTCTTATTCTGTAGTCAAACGACTGGATTTTTCAAGGTATCAGAAAAACAATTTAAAAAACTGATAGAAAGTAAGGCACAAGAACTGGATTCTAATGTCTTTTTACACAGAATATTTTTTCTTTATCCAATATGTATGTTATAAATGTTACACACAAATTACTTGGGAAAATTTGTTATATTACAGTTAAAAATATTTATTTTCATTAAATGTTGGCCCAGTTGAGTTTGCTCTTGAGAAATATGGTGTGTTTGGGGTCAATCAGGATTTAGTGCCAGTTGGTAAAATCAAATGAGAAAACCCACTGAAGAAAAAGCACTGCACGTTTATATTTTTATACACTACATTTGAAACATACAACAGCGGGTTAATATAATTGTAGTCGCGTCCATTCCACAGATCGTTAAAKGTATTTTCTTTGTTTTATTTGTATTCATTTGAAGACAAACGAGGTAGTACCGACGGACMTGAACGCACCACATCAAAGATCCAAGGATGGCGCTCCGAGCTGCTGGAAGTCGTTTGTGGCATTTTCAAAAATGTTCTAAGGTAAACCAACTTCCTGTCTTTTCGTTTAGCTCATATTTGCTTTTGCCTTTTAGCCATCGATTTAAAATAAATAAATGAACGAAACAAGTAGGAAAGCTGTTATGCCTTTACTTCCGTGTTTTCCAATTCCTCGCCAGTCGCCACGAATCGATATTTGAAAGCCAACAAAAATAAAGTTCAAAAGCCACAGTCTACTGTCGGTGCTAAATTGATGCGAATATCCGTTTTGCTGAATTTCTCGACTTTTATTTTTCGTTTAAATAACTTATTGGGTGCTATAGCGCTTCTTCACCACTGAGTAGCGCTATATAACCATGAGATCAGACCATACAAAGAACAGTCTGCATGTGATCCATTCGTAATGCATTTTTTTTTTCTTATCTGTTGCAGATAATTCCCATTCAAACCCAACACGGGTTTAGGTTTAAAGCAGCCTGTCCGGTTGAAGTGAGTCATCTGGATCATTTGGTGCTGACGGTGAAAAGTGTACCAGACACAATCAACTTTTATTCCTCAGTTCTTGGGATGGAAGTTGTCACTTTTAGGGTACGTGTCAGCCCATCGAAGCTCATTACAAAGTAAGATTAGTGCTAATAATGTTTTAAAATGAACAATCTTGACGAATTTATCACACCTTCAGTGGTTTATTTACATAAAAATCTGAGAAAAGTCTCATAAACAACCACTAGGTGGCAGACTTTGACTGTTATTCAGCTGTTACACTTCCCCTATCTATCTATCTATCTATCTATCTATCTATCTATCTATCTATCTATCTATCTATCTATCTATCTATCTATCTATCTATCNTATTTATTTATTTATTTATTTATTTATTTATTTATAACTGCAATGGATTTTCTGTTTGCATTTTCCAGGGAAACCGTAAGGCTCTTGGGTTTGGTCAACAGAAGTTTAACCTTCACCAGGTGGGACAAGAATTTGAACCAAAAGCCAAGCATCCAACTTCAGGATCTGCAGACCTGTGTCTTATTACAAAAACCCCTCTGTCTTCAGTAGCTGCTCATCTCAAGGTATTTATCAGCAAAACTAGGTTCAATTACCAAAGTCACCAAGTTTGGATTTCCTTATCATTTCAAAAACGAGTTGGGTGTTGATGAAATAAATTCTGGGCACTGGTTGATGTCCTCTGTCCTCTGCAGGATTGTGGGGTGGAGATTGAAGAGGGACCCATAGAAAGGACCGGGGCCATGGGGCCCATCACCTCGCTTTACTTCAGAGACCCGGATCACAACCTGATTGAAGTGTCAAACTACACTCAGTCGACAGCTGACACGTCTTTTTAAAGCTTGTTTTCAAACGTGAAAACGCACCCTCTGACCTCCCTACACACTCACACTCTGCAGCCCAAAACGAGTGTTTTCACTGTGAAAAGCTTAAACCAAAATGACTGTAATTAAAGTCATTTGCTCTCGATTGAGGCAGAGTAGATAAGATCAGCCAGTGTTGGAGCTCTGTTTGGAAAAAAACAGTTTCAGCTCATTTTATTTAGAAATGCAAAGAGAGACTAAACTGTTTTCAGAAACATTCATTTTTAGGATAAAAACAAAATGCATTAACATATCCTGAATATTTAAAATAAATCTCATTACCATGTTTCGTAATGCTATTACAAAACAAAACATACTGACAAATAAAAGCCTTGATATTCGTAATAACTGTCTTATCTCTTTTGTTTAGTTGTGCTGTATTCAAGACATTAAGAAGATCAAATACTTAGTAAAGGTCATTAAAAGCAAAAAAGTTAGATTCATTTTGTCCATGTGCACCAACAACATGAAAGACCTACTGTATTTTATGATTCAGAGGTGATGTGTTCTGTAAAGTGAGACAATAATCCTAAACAAGCTGCCAGAGTTGGACAGAAATGAAAAGATCCACCATACTTCCCATGATCTTGCAAAAGTATAGCATTTTTTTGTTAATAGTTCCAATTAACTTACCAATTATTTTTTTCAGCTAAGGAAATGGGAACAAATTTTGTGTTTGTGACAAGCTGCTGTTAGTGAAATGCTTAGAAATAACATTTAAAATAGTTTCCGTGCAAAGCTGTTACATGTGCACACAAGGCAGATTTTTAAGTCTAGATATTAAAACTTTTCTCTGCAAATGATCAAGTACTGGACTAAAAATGAGTGGAAAAGCAGCCAAAATCTWAGGAAAGCCTGAAGATTTATTGACAAAGACCATTTTGGAAAATGACATTAATTCATTAATTCATTGATTCGTTCATTCATTCATTCTTGGAACTATTGCACAATGCTGTCAGTGTTCAAGATTAGAAGACCCCATGGTGGAAAAATACACACAAACTGATGTCAGTGAAACACTAGAGTCAGAGATTTTATCCTAAAATGACATCTTTTGGGAACTTATTCCTTTTGTACATAATTCCATTTTATGTCTTCTGTATCTGCTGTTTGTTGCAGAAGTCTTTGTGATTCTAAGTACTTATCACAACCAAACACCTTTCAGGTCCTCTTAAAGTTTTTTTTTGATTAAATCCAAAATAAGGACTAACAGCAAAGGTGAAGTATGTTTCATAATGGGACATAAAAAGAAGCTTTCACAAAACATGAGGGTAGAATATTTTTTAAAAGCAAACTCTAGGCCTTATGTTTTAAATCAGCCTTTCAAACTAAGTTATACCTGCCCTCAAATAAGAGCTGGTGATGCCTCTGTTATATTTAGTCTGGCCTCTAGTTTTATTTGCTTTATTCTTATTTACTGTAAATGTTTAATCATTTGTTTATTTTACCTCTACAATTCTGTAAATCCATCCATCCATCATCTACACCCACTTCTTCCTTTCAGAGTCAGGGGGGACACTGGTGCTCATATCCAGCAGTCACTGTGCGAGGGGTGGGATACACCCTGGACAGGTCGCAAGTCCATTACAATTTACTTCTGTAAATTATTTCTGTTAACAACCATTCATGCTTTGGTCTGTTTTATTTACCATATGTAGACATTCTACATAAATTATGTCTGTTCAAGTACTTCTTAATTATAAATCATTATTTCTAGAGTTTTAAAGTAATAATNGACACTGGTGCTCATATCCAGCAGTCACTGTGCGAGGGGTGGGATACACCCTGGACAGGTCGCAAGTCCATTACAATTTTATTCTGTAAATTATTTCTGTTTTTAGTTTTATGATGTTTGTACCATTTTATTTACCATATGTAGACATTCTACATAAATTATGTCTGTTCAAGTACTTCTTAATTATAAATCATTATTTCTAGAGTTTTAAAGTAATAATTTTATGGACTTGCAACCTGRCCAGGAAGTACACTGCCTCTCGCACTGTGACTGCTGSARYTGGGCAGCAATGACCCCTGRGACCCGGGAAGGAAGAAGCAGGAAAATATAAGGGATGGATGAATGATCTGGTATGTAAACTACTGCAAACAACTGTTTTTATACAGCTGAACCTTTGTTCAGTTTAAGATTTTCCATTTTCAGGAACACTTCCTGGATGTTGAAACAAGAGGTGCAGAAAGAACACTTCTTTCATTGTCACCCAATGACTTGGCTTATTGTCTTTTAACAAAAGAAACCTGTTTAGGTACTATCATGTGGAAACTTCATCTATGTCACAGCTGCACATGTAAAGACGCTCAGGTCTGTTGACAGCTGATATTGCATCACTTTAGAAATTATTTCATTTGTTGGTTAGAGGCTCTGAAATGAGGCACGGTGCAAACATTTCCTGGTTTATGTTGCTGAAATGTATAACAATAACTTCATGTGCTCAGGTTCCATATTGTTTGGTTTCTCAACTCTTTTTTCCAAGAATTACTCCATTATTTCCGGATTACATTCCGGATTCCTGCTGATCGGCTGTGGAGGAGTTCTGGCTTWTCAGAAAATGAAAGCGATCCTGACAGCAGTCCGGGCCTGTGTAAAGCTGTCAGGGAYCTTGGATGGAATCTCCCGTACTAGAAACGCACAGACTGTGATGTTGGGGGATATACCGTATTTATTCGTGTATGATACGATCTCATGTATAATACGACCCCACCTTTTTTGAACTTAAAAAGCATAAAAAATTTAATCCTCAAACTATCTCCAATTTCATACAGACTTCAAGATTTTTCAGCCTTTGCAGTCTTTATACATATCATTAAAATGATCATTGGACTGTTCATTTTATTTTAACAACAT